GTAGTGACCATGAACTATTAATATCAAAAATCAGGATAAGCTGGACAAGACCACCAACAGAAGCATACTGCCAAAATGCAACTTAACTTTCCTGAGGAATTTAAAGTCCACACAAAGGACAGACTTGCATTACTGAACTCAGTTGACTGTGAACCAAAAGAAATGAGGAATTTAGGGAAGAATGCCAAAAGACAATTCTTGTAGGTAAAAGAAAGAAAAAGCCTAGATAGAAGAAACATATTTGCTAAGGACAGGCAAGAAGCAAAAGGTGACAGAAATAGGGTCAGGATCCCGTCTGCATTGACTACTATCATGCAGGGACAAAAAGAACTATTACAATGGCCAGTGCAGTGAAATAGAACAAAAGAAGATAAACAAGAGAATCAAAGGGAAATTCAACCCTAGATTAGGAATGCTGAAACACAAACAGAGGGGCATTCTATCTGGCCAGGATAAAATAAAGAGAAGGTGGAAAGGGGATGCAGAAGAACTACGCAGAAGAGATAAAGAGATGTGAAACTGCTTCAAGGAGAAATCCTGTGAGGAAGAGCCTGCAGCATTAGAAAGCAAAATGAAACTGCTCTGAAAGTCCTTGGAAGGAATAAAACATCTGCAGCAGATAACCAATAGAAATATTGCAAGCTGCAGAGACTGAAGCAAGTCCAAATCCTATCAAGGATATGCCAACAAAAATGGAAAACAACACAATGGTCCACAGACTGGAAATATTCAAGATAAATTCCAGCCCCCAAGAAAGGAGATGCAAAGGAGTTCAGCAACGATAGGACCACTGCTCTAATTTCCCATGCAAGTAAAGAGCGGCTCAAAGTGTTGCAACACAGCACATCACCCTATATGAAATGAGAAATTCCTGACATGCAACCTGGATTCTGAAAAGGAAGAAGCACTTGAGATCATATCAGAAGCATACATTGGCTACTGCAGCATACCGAAGAATTTCAGGGGAAAATCAGTCTATATGGACTACAGCAGAACCTTTGCCATGATGCTATGGATGGTCCTGAAAGCTATGAATTTGTGCTGATACATAACCAGTATCATGGTCAAGAAGCTACAGTTAGGACAGAATATGGAAAACAGAATGGTTTCCACTAGCAAAGACATCAGGCAAGGTTGTATTTTATCTCCTTATCTGTTCAATCTGTACAGAGAATGTAGCATAAGGAAAGCTGGATTAGGATAAGAAGAGGAAAGAGTGACAATTGGCAGAAGATGCTCCAGTAATTTAAGACATGAAGGTGATACAATAATATTATTGAAATACCTTCTGATGAAAGTGAAGAAGAAAATGCAAAGTGGAACTGCTGCTGAACATTAAGAAAACAAACAGGATGGTGATGAAGCAATTACAGAATTTTACTGTCAACCATGAAGAAACCAAAATTGTGATTTTGCATAAATTGACTCAGTTATAAATTCAAAGGGAGACGTCAGCCAAAAATTTAGAAGACTGAAACTTCGAAAGGCAGCCATAGAGGAACTAGAAAAGATCATCAAATGTAAGGACATTCCATTGGAGACCAAGCGCAAGATCATTCATACCATTGTATTCCCAACCACATTTATGGTGGGAAAGCTAGACAGTGAGGAAAATTGATGTGTTTGAAACACAGCGCTGCAGGAGAGCTTTGCAAATAGATCCAATCAAGCCGGCACTTTCTCTAGAAGCAAAAATGACAGAACTGAAGCTGTCACACGGCAGGCACATCATGAGAGGGCAAGGCTCACTGAAGGGAAAGTTGTAAACAGAAGCAGAACTATGAGATGGATTGATTCCATAAAGGAAGTCACAGCCTTGAGTTTACTTGAGCTGAATAGAGCAGTCATGGACAGAACAATTTGGAAGGCATTCATTGGTAGGGCTATCGTAAGTCAGAGATGTCCTGATGGGACATAACAACCCACATCCTCTGTAGGTTCAAGTCAACAGACCCATAGTTCTCTTGAGAGCCTTTAATAAGACAGACATAATTCTTAGATTACTTGGATTCAATTACTTATATTGTTTTTGTCCTCTGATTTCGGTCCTTATCCTGCTGCCAAATTTTAAGTTGCAAATTCCTTTTTGCTGATGTTCCCCTTTCAAATGTTTTATGCATTGTGCTATATAGAGACGGCATGGCACAGTCGTTAGAATATTGGACTAGGGCAGGCAGGACGCAAGTTCAAACCTCCATTCAGCTGGGAAGCCCACTGGGACCGCTTTGAGTCATTCAGTACCTCCCACTGTAGTCTACCTTACAAGAGTGTTGTAAGGCTAAATGAAGCAAGGAAGAACATGTGGCTCCTCTAACTCCTCAGAGGAAGGGTGGGACATGAACTCAATTAATAATGTAGCAATAACATATTCTTCATGCAAGTAATAGCCTCGCGTTTCTGCATTCACCCTTGCACTCTGGATATGCTGTGATGTATAAAGGAGCAAAGTTTTGCAACACCTTGTATATATCTATGGATTTTTAAACTACAGTTTATAATGCATAAGTAGAGAGAAAGCAGAATTTGATAAAGTCCAGTAGCGGGTGGGCTTGAAGAAGGAATAGGCAGAAGGTAGATGATCATCTGATCATTTCCAGCTGACCTCTTGGCATACCCCACCTAAGGCTTTCTTAACTTCGTGCTTCCTGATGTTTTGGACAGAAACATTCAGTGTCCCTGACCATTGGCTAAGCTGGCTGGGGCTGAAAGGATCAAAGTCCAAATCATCTGGAGGGCGTCAAGTTTAGGGAGTTCTAAGATGTTCTAACAAGGTTCTCCTGCCCTGACCACCTGCTTCAGCTCAAGTACCAGGAACAAGAACAGTGCTTTAGATTCTCTTGCCCCAAACCCAGACACACAGAACCCTGGGGAAATCTTTGTGCAGGTCTGTTCATAAGGCAGTTCTACTGGCTGCGTTCTGGGGATTGGTAGCTGGACCCCAAGACCTCCAAAGTTACCCACCTGATTTACAGTGTACAAGTTAAAGCCAGCACTTCGTACCCGGAAACAAAGAGGAAGACAGTGACAATAGGAACATAGGATGTTACCTCATACCAATGCCAGGCCACTGGCCCATATACTGCAGTACTGTCTGCCCGGACTGGCAGCAGCTCTCCAGGGGTTCAGGCAGGGGTCTTTCCCAGCCCTGTGTGGAGATGCCAGGGATGGATTATGGGACTTTTTTCAAGGAAAGCATGTCTGCTGATGAGCTCGGGTTTCCACTTTTAAATTCCAGTCCTCGTTATTCCACAAGAGGGCCAATTTAAGTGGGAACACAGGAAACTGCTCTATGCTAACCGGATTAGGAAAACATGATAACCCACAATCAAAGCCTGTGTGGGTTGTTGTTGTAACATGTGATTCTGTGTTGTCTGAATCCAGGCAAGATAGCAAATGTGTTGAAGAACCCACCACTCACAATGAGAAACCATGATTTTTTGATGGATGGTTGTGATTAACAAGCCATGGTTTTTTAGTATAGTTGAGTATGGTAACCTACACTCAAGGGCTGCATAGGTGGTGTGTGGGTTGTTGTTGAACTTTGTTCATGAGACAATGTTGCATGTTGATGTAACATGGGTTGTGTTGTCTGAATGTAGCCAAAATAATAAACCATGATGAACAACCCACAGTTTGTTCATGTGGTTTACCCCACATGGATTCTCTTTATGGTTTGTTCATGGTTAACAAGCCATGACTTCTTAACACAGCTGGATTTAAAGGTAAAGGTAAAGGTTTCCCCTTGACATGAAGTCCAGTCATGCCTGACTCTAGGGGGCAGTGCTCATCTCTGTTTCCTGGCCGAGGGAGCCAGTGTTTGTCCGCAGACGGTCTCTGTGGTCATGTGGCCGGCAGGACTAAACACTGAAGTGCACGGAACGCTGTTACCTGCCCACCGAAGAGGTACCTTTTTATCGACTTGCATTTGCATGCTTTTGAACTGCAACGTTGGCAGGAGCTGGGATGGGACAACGGGCACTCACTCCGTTGTGCACATTTGAACCGACGACCTTTCGATCAACCAGCCCAGCTGGATTTAGACAATGCAATAACCTATGCTTCAACAACAACAACACACACCCCCAGCACTGATCAGGGAGTTGGCCTTATAGGCCTCTTCCAGCTCAACTGTTCTATGAGATGATTCATACTCAGTGCAGGTTACCGTGGTGTCTGAACCAGGCCCCTGGATCCATCAATATTCTCTGCTACAGGGCTGAGCAGATGGTAGCTCTCTGCAGATATTCTGGACTTCAATTCCATGGAGCCTTTGCCAAGTGGATAGGAATGGCCAGTGGTTAGGAGTACGGAAAATGGAAGTCCAGCACTTCTGGTGATCTACTTTCTGCCAGCAGCTGGTTTGTTACAACCTCTGGCAAGTTTTCCAGAGGTCTTTTCCAGTCCTACCTGGAGATGCCCAGGATTAACTGGGGCCTTCTGTGGACATCCCATGCTGTGGTCTGCTGCCGATCTACCGCCTCTTCCCAAAGGCAAGAAGATTTCCAAGTACCGGCAAAATATAATCCAGAATATACTCCACTCCAGTCCTGGTTGATTCCGAGAATGTTCCCAGCTCACCATACCAGCAGTGAGGCCCTCTGCCTTTTCCATAGCAGGCAAAGACAGGCATTATACATCGTTATTCCGGAAGAGATCTTCTACGAATCGAAAACTGCCACTCGCACACTCCGGGCCGGGAAGAAGAGTGCGGAGGAAAGACAGCAGATCTATTTCCTTTTCCAAATCAACACGAGAGATGCCTTTAAAAATACTTGTGAGAGGCGCTCTTGATTGGCTGTTCCTCCGAGAAAGCAGAAAGCGTGCAATCCATTCATGGGTGGGACCTGGGAGTAAAGGGGTCCCTCTCTGACACAGCTGACTGGGGGCGGCGATGTGCCGGAATACACGCGCCCGAGCCTTAGAACACACCCGCTCCCACCCCGCATACAGTGGGCAACTGTTCAGCGAGAAAGGGGAGGGCTGATAAAAGGAAGGTGTGGAAATAGCGGAGGGTGTTTTCTGCAATGTTTTCACTTTAAGCGGCATGAAAGCGGCTGTAGGGTCAGTCAGGGGGAAGCTAGCCACACGCCCGCTTGCTCGCTGGCGGGCATGTACGCGCGCCCGAGGAGCGCTTTCCGGCTGCGCTAGGAGCCGCACTTTCTGTGCGTTAGCCGCCTGTTTAAATTAGAAGGGCCACAGGGCTGAGCGAGTGAGCAGGGCGCTATTCCAGCGCCAAGGAGGGAAAGGCGAGGCGGCAACAGCCCGCCGCCGAAGCCGACGCTATTTCCTCTAGCGAAGAGGCATCTGCCGGAGGGCGAGTGAGCAGCAGCCCAAGGTAAGCGGGAAGAGGTCAAACCCGGCGCCGAGCGAGGCTGCGCGGTCTGGGAGCCGCCGTCCGGCGCTTTGGGGAGCTGGTCGGCCGCGGCTTGACGCCCGAGCGGCTCTTCCGCGGGTGCGCGCGCGAGGGGCAGGGCAGCGCGCCTTCCCGGGGTATCGAGAGCAGGGCAACGCGGTCTCGCCATCTCTCGCCCCTCCGGTGGCTGCTGGCTGCCGGTTCGGGAGCGGGGAAGCCGGGAGGCCGTGGAGCCCGCGGCGCGGGAGGAAGCGCGTCCCTGAAGACGCGCTTGGCGAGGCGGGGAGAGAAGGGTGCAGCGCGCAGGACGCGCAACAAAGGCGCCGGGGAGAGGGCGTGCGGGGGCTTCGTCCGGGGCGCGAGGGTGCTTCGGCCCAGCGCGGTTCCGGAACTGCAGTGTGACGGTGCTCCTGGCGGCAGGAGGAGGGGAAGGCGATGGAGAGCTGGATGGCTTCTGAGCCCTACGCGCAACCTCCCGAGTAAGCGACACTGCGCCAGGCGAGGGCTCCCCGCAGAGTGGGAGTGCGGGGCGGACACGGAGAGAGGGGGCGTGTAGGGATAGGAATTGATGTGCATCCCTTTATCGTCTCCCTGCGGCTGGGCCTTTGCAGCCCCCCATCCCTTAATGCGGGGGCGTGCAGGCAAAGGGAGAAACCTGAGGCCGCCCCCACGTCACTCCCCAGGACTTGCGCGAGGCATCACGAACTCCTTTTGTGACACTCGCTTTACTCCCCGTTCCCACGTGCCCAAGATCAGTACTAAAATAGAACGTGGGCCGTGCGCGCGCGCGTGTGGCGAGGATCGCCTTCTTGCGGTCCGGCCGCACGATCTCGCCTCCGACTCAGTCCCGCCCCGGACAGGGAGAGTTATTCCTCCCTTACTGCCGCCGACCCCCCATCCGCCAGGAAAGGCTGGAGCCGTACAGCCTCCATCTTCCGTTGCCACCAGGCACCGCTCCACGACATCCAACAAAAGGCGACGGCAAACGGCGGATGGGGTGCGTGGGTCCCTGCGCCCTCTGATCCGGATCTGCACGGAGGCATGTGTGAGCGTGCAGGCGTGTGCCGCATCCTAGCGACCTCTCCTCCACCCCTGCAAGGCCGGCGATAGAGCAGCGGGGCCCTTTACATCCCCCGCCCCCGCCCCGGCACCGGCACCCAACCCGGTGGCCTGCATGGCTCAAGCTCCCTTCAGCCCAGCCAGTGCTCAGGCATGCTGAGAGTTGTAGTCTGAAACTTCTGGAGGGGGCCCTGTTGGGGAAGGCGGCTTTCAGTGGACCCACACCTGTGCTTGCCGTCCTCCTGGATCCCCAGCTGGAGGTCCTGTTTCCCCACCTGCTTATAATTCCTCTCTCTGCCCCATGTCGGAGCTGCCTTTGCTTCCGTACCCACCCTGCGCCTCCCACGCCTCCACGGCCTATGCCCCCGCCATTCATCGGATGCTTCCTAAGCCCCCCCCCGCCACTTTTCCTGAAGAGAGCCAATACATCCCGAATAAAGTCCCCACAATTTCATGGGGCCCACTGGTCCTTTGTCCAGTGGGGCCAGCCTGAGCCGTTGCTGCCTGAGGCAGAGACTGAGCTCTTGTGTCTGTGCTCCCGGAGCCCCCATTCCACCCACAAAAGCCGGCACAATTGGCAGTGGCGTCATTTCCTCATAGACAATGGGGCTGCGTCGCCCACCCCCTTTCCCACCCAGCTAGCTTATGGGGTGCAGAAGCGGCTGCCTGGAGCACGTAACTCTGACCTCTAGGGTGCTGCCCAGTCACTGGCAAGAGCCACCTGAGGCCTCCACCTCCATCTGCCTAACGGTAGGGCCAGCCTGCTTTTTATCAGACAGGGATTACTGCATTTCTGTTGTGTGTTTTCATGACAACTTTGGCTCCCTCTTTCAGCTGCGTTCCCCTTCCCCCCCCCCAAAAAAAACCCCTACCCGCTGCAGTGAAACATCTATAAACAGCCTGGATATTTAGTGCTTGTGGCTACAATCTCTGAGGAAAACGCTTATTTTCTTTCCTTCTGTCTTGAGGAGACACCCGCAAGTGTCCTTGTTTCCTCTTGCGCATTGTCTTTTGTGTGGGTGGGTGGGTGGGTGGGTGGGGGTGTTAAACAGTTTCTTTCCCGAACAGGGGGCTTCTCCCAGAACTCAACCTGCCCCGTTTCCTCCTCTCTTCCAAGATTCACAGATCCAGGAATTGGCCTCCCCTCCCAAAGGAAATCCTGTTTTCCTGGCCAAGGGCTGAGCTGTGAGGAGATGACATGACTCATGGGTGATACGGTTGGAGGGGAAAGGGTTTCTATGGCTACTCCTGAGCAGGGTGCTTCCTCCTTCCCCCCCTGTAAGCAGAAGTGTGCGTTGTGTTTCCTGTGTGTATGTGTGTGTGTCTTTCTAGCTGGGTCACAAAGGCTGTAGTTTTCTGTTCAGAAATCAGGAGAGCTCCTCAAAAGCACTGTATCTCAGAGATATTAAAATTGTCGTTAATTTTATTAAGTTGCTCAGTAGCCGAAGCTTTCTGGGCAGTTAACAGTAATCCATAAAAAGAAAAGTGTAGCTACAATAAAAACAGTGTAACATTCAGTTAAAAAAATTAAAAACCATTTGAAGAGTTAAACACATCCAATAAATTAGATTTTTACAGATATAAGCGCCATATACCTTTAGATGCCATTAAATGTCTTGGCATAGAGGGCAAAACCTGATGCAGGAAAGATAGCAGAGTTGGTGCCAGGTGGGCTGTTCCACAGTGGGGAGCCTGTTCCACAGTCAGGGGTCCATCACGAGAAGGCTGTTTTCCTTGTGGCCACTGACAAGAAAACCTAGAGGGGGTGTACAAGCAAAAGAACATTTACAGTTTATTCAGACATACAGGAAATAAATCCAGCAAGTAGGCAGCCCCCACCCCCAAGGGACTAAAAGATGGGGCCTGTACAAGATGCTTTTACAACCTATCAGTTACATGCACTGTTTGGAGGAAGGGGAAACATTTAGGCAGTTTGCTAGAGGCCCATGAAGGTAAACAATAGGGTTGAACCTGATCGAAACACAATAAACAAAAGGAAGAACTTTCAGGACAGGCAAACAATCAGCGTATCTAAGATTATACCAAGAGGAAGGAGCTTCAGGACAAGCACATGTTAGCATCTCTAAGGTGTACCTGGGGAGCAAGATTTGCAACATGGATTCTTGATCAGATCAGGAATTCTGACAGTGTTCGGGTTTCAGCAGCCATATTATGCCAGACGTTTTGCTCATTTTCCCCCGACATCACCAGCCAAGCCTCCCTTGGAGGAAGGCCTTGGAGACTGAGCATAGTGTCTGGGCGGCCCTTGAATGGGAGCAGTGTTCTCTTAGAGTACAGATGGTCCAGGTTCTCTCCTCAGCATCTCCAGGTGTGGTTCCATAGCAACCAGATGCCACACTGGGAAGCACACAAGTAGGGCATAAGAGCAGCAGCTTCCTACCATGTTGCCCAACAACTGGTGTATGTAGGCTTCGCACGTCTGATGGCCAAGTGGCCCTCTCTCTGAATTTGGCTAAAGCCTTGAGAGCCACTGTCTGTCCGTGTTGACCAGAGGTAGGGAATCTGGTATCTTACAGATGTTTTGGACTCCAGTTGCCATAAATCCTAATCGTTGCTCCTGTTTATGGCAGCTGTAGCCCAAAACATCTGGTGAGCATCAAGTTGCCCACCCCTGGTGTCAACAGCACTGGGTAATATCAACAAACGGTCTGCTTGGTATAGGGTATCTTCCATCCTGAATCAGCCCTTTATTCAGAATCAGGAGGACTAGAATCTCTCCTTCCTTTAGGAGAAAGGCCATAGCTTAGCGAAAGGTATCTGGTTCAATCTATGGCATCTACAGGTAGGGAGAATTCTCAGTTTGGAACCCTTGAGGGCTCTTGCCAGACAATATTGGATTAGATGGACAGGTGACCTGACTCAGTATATGACAGTGCAAGGACGTCTTACCTCTTTGCTCCAAAGCAGATGTGGTGTGATTTTTAAAAGGGTGTGTCCTGAAATCCTTTACAGTATCAAGAAGGATATTGGAGAGCATAATGTCAGATTCATGTAACGAAGAAATGTAGTTTTAAAGAACTGCATTGCTGTATTGGATTGCCATCCACTTGTTAGCTCAGCTGTGCGGAACCTCAGCCATGGGATCCTAATCCATCCCTCCAAACATTCCTTGGGTAGCCTAGAAGGCCACACACCCTTCCCAGCAAATTTGGAATGTGGTTTCCTGACTTTAAGGTGGTCTTTTCATATTCTAAAGGGGTGAGGCTTAGTGCCTGGCAGGAAGACCTTTTCGCTCAAACTGGCTGGTCATAACTGATCATCTGTAACTCAGATGAATTTTGCCTCTGGAGTGGAAGTTCCAGTTGGCTGCCATGGCAACAGCCATTGATATCCCTTATCTGTTTTAATAGATCCTCACTGGGTTCCTTGTGCACTTAGGATAAGGCTAAGGTTTGGGTGAGACAGCTGCAAATGCAGGAAACCAGTAAGATAAGGATCTTTGATATAACCCCCATTATATTGACTGGATTCAGACAACATGATAACCCACACTCAGGCTGACATGGGTTGGGTGTGGGTTGTTGTAGAACAATGGCTGTTGTATTGTCAGAACCCACCTGTGTGAACAACCCATGACTTCTTAACTACAAACAACCCATGAAAAGAACTCATGGTTTATTGTTGAGTTGTGAACTGTGGTTGTTCAACATGGTGAGTTATCTTGGCTAGGTTCAGACAAAATGCCATTAACACAAAAGATCATTATATAAAGGACTCCCCTGCCCAATGCCCGTGTAAAGATAAAGAACCATTAAATCCTTATTCCTAAATTCACATCTGTAGACAGAATGTGCAAATCTTATGCAAATCCCTCCCCTCCCCCGCCCCCTTTTAATTGTTCATTTCTTTTTAGATAAGTGACTTTCACCAGGTGAAAATTAGGAAGTCAGTAGAGTGCTTAA